GGCCCTTTTTCCTTTTTTTCTTTCATCTTTCCCTCACTTTTTCTTTCTTTTTTCTTTTTTTCTTTTTTCTTTCTTCCTTTCTTTCTCTTTCTCTTTCTCTCTCTCTCTCTCTGTGTGTGTGTGTGTGTGTGTGTGTCAGTGGTGGGTTTCAAAAATTTTTGGAACCTCTTCTGTAGGTGTGGCCTGCTTTCTGGTGGAACCTCTTCTAACAGTTCGGTAAATTTGACGAATCGGTTCTACAGAACTGGTGCGAACTGGTAGGAACCCACCTCTGCCATAGATACTTTGTTCTGCTATTAGGAAAGTTTTCCTTATATTTTTTAAAAATCTAGGTGGCTACAATTTAAATCCTTTGTTTCTGGTTCTACTTTCTGTGGGCATGGAAAATAGTTCTCAGGCAGCTTCCCTATAGCTTTTCTTTATGGATCCAAACATGGTTATCATGTCTACTTCAATCCTCTCTTCCTGAAGTCCCTGAATCATCTTTGTTACTGTCCTTTGATCGGTTTGTCAGCATTTTTCTGCAAATATGTTGCTTAGAGTTGTAAACAGTACTCCAGGTCTGGTCTTCTATAAAGGAAGGATTCTAACTGGGCGGAGATTTGTTTTCATACCTCAGTATGTGCCTCCATTATATACATAATGCCATTTCACAAAGTGAATTTTGTCCTGTGGAGTGGGCCTTCTTACATGAGTTCATGTGTTTCGGCATGAAATCATGCTGTATGGAAGATTCATATGGGAGAGACTAGTCTTGCAAATAAATTGTACTTAGACCTTTGAAACAAATGCAGATGGATCAAGATAATGTACTTTACAAAGCACATAGCAGTGGGCATTTTAGCTCTGCATTTCAGATTGGATGAAATTAATGAACACTTTATAAAAATATTCCCATGAAGAGTGCTTGATCTGGTTTCTTCCTGACTATCTGTAAGACATGGTTTGGAAATTAGAAAACAGCCTCAAAAACATCAGGTCCTCTAATAAATAATAGTTTTAATTAGATCAGCATCAGTTCATGTTTAATCCTAAACCACAGTTATAGCTTACAAGATAAAGAAGAATCATGGTTGAAAGCATTAAAAAGGAAGGGATCAACATTTTCAAAGATGATTCCTGTCTAAATACTATTAATTACAAGGGGAATATATATATATATATATATATATATATATATATATNTTTAAAGTTGATGGAAATCCCATTTAAAAACTGAACTGGCTAGATTCTGCAGTGACTAATGACCATTATAGATCTATAGAGAGGAAACTGTCAGGCCTGCAGCCATCTTTTCTTTTGGATCTTTGGTCTTCCACACTTTCTATTATTCTACTATGCATTTTCTATTGTGGGAAAATGGGAGAAGGAATTGTAGGAGTGAGATGCTATGTAGCCATAATAAAATTATTTCTAGAAAGCCAAGGTCATCCTTTGTCTTTGCACCTGACCGGAACTGGATGGGTGCAACTGCCAGCATGGCAATGGAATATTGGGCCATGTGATGGACTTGTGGGTGTAAGGGGCAAGATCTTGAACTTTCAACTGGGTGGGGAAGCTTTCAGATTCGGGTTTTCCCAGATGTGCCAACATGGCTCTCTTAATAAATTGGAACTTTGAGCAATACTTTGCCTTGGATTCTGATATACTTTGGATGCTATTTGGAACCCTGACAGAAACATTTCTAGTTACATAGAGAAGGCCTCCCTGGAGTCAAGTTCCACTACATAGATGTGATCATGTGTTTTCTTAGGAACAAAAATGTTAGATATGTAAGAAGACTGGAAGGCAGGTTAGACATAAATAATCAAAGGAGAGCAACAAAGTCTACAGGAGTTTATCATCCCCCTTATATTATGCAATCCAAGGTTGGATCTATCTTTACTTTACTTTAAGGTAGTCCAGTGTGAGAAAGTTGAAAGGCACTTTATTCATAACCAAAAGAGAGCAGAAAATCTATTGGCAGTTTATTTCAAATGACAATTTAGTTGGCATGGCAAATCTAAGAAGAATGGGCTTAAATCAAGTTGAGATAATCTATTTTAATAAACATACGGTTTCCCAGATTCTCTATTTACCTTTAGTACTAGTATAAAAGTCACCTTCCTGCAGTCTGGATAATTCATGAATTATCTAATCCAACTGGATGGGAACTTCACCCAGGTGAACTTTCTAGTGTTTAGCACACCTGTGTCTGCTATGAACAGAAATGGTGTCTCAAGTAGATGTGTAACAAACAGCTGTAGGCTCTTCAGCCACTCAAGTTGCCTTTTTGGGTGGAGTAAATGAGAAACAGGCTCATACAATCTCCAGGGAAGCAGAAAGAGAACATTTTATTTTAAGAGTTCAAATAAAACCTGAAAGGGAAGGCAGAATACAGTGACAAAGTGTCCTTGAATTTCTTTTTTCTTTTTACTTCCTCTTATCAAACAGGAGTATGTATGTCTCTCCTCTTCTTGCAGTGACAGACTGTTGAGTTATTCTAAAGAAGGGTATCTTAGCTTCAGTAAGCAAAACAAACCAGAGGTAAATTAGAAAACAAGAAAGCATTTAAATACTACTCAATGTGGAATATATGAGACTTTTGCACTGTTAGTGTCATGTGGACTAATCAGCACATTGTAATCTGGGTAAATATTATAGGATAGTGTGGGAGAATAATCTTTTCTGTTTTTGCAATAATCCATGAGCTCTCTTACACATTAGGGCTCTTGTATTTCATCTAAACACTTATACTCCACTTTCTGGCCACATCAACATCCTTCTCAAAATAATTATAATTAAAACAATAAAATTTCTCAGACATCTCCTCTCAAACACAGTCAAGAAAGCATCATAAAAATTGTGCTGAATGAGTGCAAAGGTCTAGTTCAGCAGTTTATTCCTATGGTGGCTAAATAAATCGTTTCAGTACAATATCTAATCACGGTAGGAGGATGCAAGCATCCCACAGAGTCAATAAAACAAACATAATCTGCTGAAAAAACAAAACAACAAAAGCCTACTGCATTTCTATCAGACTTAGTTCCAAATCTGAAAGAACAGCAGTGATACTGTGATCCAAACTTGTCCTTTCTCTTCACTGAAACCAGAGTTCTAAAGGCAACAATACATGAAAAAAGTCATAAGAGAATTCTGAAGAACATCTTCATATAGACTGAATATGCAAAACGTTGCAAGGATATGGGAATTAGCTACAGTTTGTGCTTCACAGCTAAAATGATGTCTGTAAGCCTATGAGGGAATTTTAGGCATGTATTGATATAT